TTCGTTGCAATACTTTGTATATTAACGGATGGCATTTTAATAAACTGCTGTTTCTCTCGTATTAGTAGTAATGTCAAACTAAGCTGGCAGTCTAACGTACAATCATTATGATCACGATCGAATATCCAATACTTGACTTACATTTCAGCTTCACATTTTGGTAACCTCTCTCGTACTCAAGTGGTTCTGTTGACTTTGTACAGAGAATGAGGATCGAGAAACGTATCTCTCTCTGAAAACGCACTTGGTGATACACGCTAGGCTACAAGAGGTTTATATTGTTGATAGAATTAAGTGATTCGAACAAACTAATATTTGACAATCGGTGAAAAAGTGCTTGAGAACTCCTCGAAGCTATGTCACATAAAACATGATTAAACTATATTATACTATTATGAGAAATAGAGCCGCTAAACATTTGTGAAACCTTCCGTAAATGCCTTGTTTATCAGCAGGTCATCCGCAAATAATCAAAAAGATCAAACACAGGGAGAACGAGGCGAGGCTGTGTTGATATACGTTGTTGCAAACGATTTATATTCTAATTCAATAGTAATAAACACATGTTAATAAAAAGTTGAGAGGGGAATCATATGAAGTGCGTTCACATCAACCGTCCATCGAGCCAATCGCCTTCAATGGCTCGATACCGCATTTCATAATACGTGATGTAACCAATAGTCTTTGACTTACCTTTTTTTATCACTATAATTATTTTGATCGTATACATGTGATCGTCCATATCGAGTATGAGCTACTCATCTTTGCTAATTCAGGTTACTTCTTCTGTACATCTTATACATATATTGAAATGCGCTAACCACTTAATATGCATTTTAGGAAATATGTACGACGCTTTTTCGTTACCAGTTTTATATATCACTATATCAAGATATCACTATATCACTATATCACTATATCACTATATCACAATTTTCACGACTCACTATTTTTGCTATTCACGATTCGTGATTCATGATTCATGATTCGTGATAGCCGTCAAACGTCATTCTCCTCTGAAGCCGTCTTTTATTTATAGGAAAAAAAAAAAAAATTTTTTTTATTTTGATGAGGAAAAAATTAGGCAGTCTGCTACATAATAATGAACAAAATTTCCCTGTTTATGATTGTCACTGAAAAGAGAGGATATTCATTTCTCTCAAAAGTTTTGTTTGAAGTATAGAGATAAAACTATTGCTATGTTCACTACTTCTCTATTACACTGTCATTCATCAAGGAGCTATACTCTTTGGTCCATTTTTTGTAAAATTTTTTCTTTGCGGCAACAAAACCTTCTCTCACCATCGTCGCAAAAAATCGCTTGTTGTCCTAATTAGTTTTTTTGGTTATACAATTTCAATCGATGCAATGTGTATAAGCCACGCACTTTTTCTTATCGTCCACGGTTAGCCATCAACAGTGTTACAAGCATATGAATTTATTGTATAGAAAAAAAAGAGATCGACAAATGACTGGCATAAAAATTTAACCACACTGAGAGATTAATAAAATATGCATGATTTAATTAATAGCTAATAAAATAATTACTTTCACATTAACATATATAGTATATATTATGGTCTGTATCATTTCACTGACAGTATCCATCCCACTGACAATCAACTACCAAAAAAGGATAACTTTCGAAATAATGTTGGTGAATATTTATCAGTAAAAAATGTATATCGCTGGTAGATTCAATAAGTGACTACTTTTCCAACGTATGAGAATATTATTTATTATGATATTCTACATACTATCATAAAAATCGCATGAAATTCGATTATGTAATCTAAATCAGTCTAGATTTCGTATGCTAATGAATATTTATCAGTAAAAAAATGTATATCGCTGGCAGATTTCAATATTTGACTATACTTTTCCAACGCACGAGAATATTTATTTATTATGATATTCGCATGAAATTCGATTATGTAATCTAAATCAGTCTACTAATGAATATTTATCAGTAAAAAAATGTATATCGCTGGTAGATTTCAATATGTGACTATACTTTTCCAACGTATGAGAATATTATTTATTATGATATTCGCATAAAATTCGATTATGTAATCTAAAAATCAGTCTAGATTTCGCATGCTAACAAGTGTCTATTAATTCATGTCACACAGTCTAATCTATAAAATCGTTAGATCGTATTTCAACCATAATAACCAAGCCACATCAAATAATAAATATTTATCCGACGAATATATACTTACCTGTTTTAGTAGACTATATTACTATAATGGCAACAGCCTTTGATTACCAATAAGATGTGTTTCGAGAGGTATATATTTCACACATCCCCCCCACCATTAATACGTCCTTTTCGCTGAACCGATTCACAACTTCCCACCTACATATTTCAAACCCAACCGATTGACATCTTTCTACCGAACGCAGACGGCACCCGTTTTATCAACCCGGTCAGTAGCACACGAAGGTTTTGTTGTTCAAATATTTATATATACGTAAAAATATTTAATCTACTGGCTTTTCTCTTTTTAACTCCAGTACGAACATCAATACTCAAACATCAAGGCAGAATTTTGTAGCGACTACAAAGCTGATATGTGTAAGGTGAGTTGCATTAATCGTATTAAAATTCGTTTGATGCGCAGTTGTCAGCCCACAGATTCAAGTGTACGCTACATAACCTCTCCCGCGTAAATACATTCATGGCAGTATTAAAAGACCAATCAAAACCTATCGCACTATTCTTTCACTGTAAATCAAAGACCACCGAAGTTAAGAAATGTGGAAGAAAAGTCGAATGATTCATAATCAGGATAATATTATCAAGTCGCGTGTAAGTTGATTTATTTCACTTTACCTTTTATATAACGCATGATTCATTATTACATATATTCGCTATTAATGACATAAAGTCTACAACCTTTCGAGTTGATTTGCTGCTTCTTGTGCGTAATAATATTGTTATTTTGTTCATATTTTTAAAATTTATTTTCTACATTCATTCAAGCCCTTCCTTCTTTCAATCTTTTTCTGGTTTTTTGTTTTGCAGTAAACCGCCTAATTCCTCTAATTCATTGCCAATTTTTTTATAAATAGTCCCTTCGATCTCTAACTCCGGCTGACTCGCCACCAACATTATGAACACTGCAAATGAGCCATAAATGTCTTTTTTTTTGTTTGTAATTCTGTATTTTTGCGATTACTATTAGTGAATTGCGTTCATTTTGTGAAAGCGCTGAATTAATAATTCGTTCCCCCCCCCCCCTATTGTAAAACTATTTTCCCCAATGAATTATAATCTGAAATAGTCTCTTCGCAGGATGATAATACCCGACTTTATTTAACGAACGGATCTCATTATGCGACAAAAAAATAAAAACCCAAACCTCAACAACATTATTACATACGATTATTCTCATAGGTAATCGAATTCAATCATAACATTTTCTCTTTAAAAAGTTGTTATTAATATTAGTCACTTTGGATCATTCGATTAATCAAACGTGGATATTCGACCTTATCAGGTGAATCTCTTTCCTTTCGAATTTGCGATTTTCTGTATTCTTCCTATCTACTGGATTGCGTCTATTTGTAGATACAATTCTTCGTCATTATATTGACTCCTCAGACGCTGCCAAAAGACCAGTCAAAGCAGCTACAGCCTCTCACAGCAAATACCACCGTTCCTCGACTCCGATTCACCAACTGCATGGCTCCGGAAAACTATCCTTTTCTTGACCTATATCCTTATAGTTACTGTCACTGAAGTAGATTGCGTTTATTGTGTGAATGCCGAATTAATTTCCCAGTGAAGTATAAGTTCATCACACTTTACGAACAGATCTTATCTATCATATGACAGAAATCAAATTGTAATGTTATTATATATAGACATCATCCGCTTGGAAATCAATTTTTAGAAAGTAGCTATTTATTAATCATCGTAATTTACTTTAACATCATTAGATGTTCGATGTCATAGCATTATACCTCTCTTCCTTCAAATTGAGATCTTCTTGCACCCTTATTATCTCATAGCATCTATTTGTTAGATACGATTCATCGTCATTTTATTGCACTCATCAACTAACTTTTACTAACAAATACAATATCTGATATTAAAACAATTTGTCCAATAGTTAACAAAATAGTTTCTGGACATGTCTGCCGAACGGACATCATTCAACTGATTACTGTTTATTTGTGTTTTAATTTTGTCAGTATTCTTTTGATTGATTCTTAACTTCGGGAGTTCGACCTGCTATTCTTTTGCAAAATAATACTCTCAATCGTTTCCATAGAGTGATTTCCTATTCTCATAGACGTAGGAATTTAATCACAGCGCAATTAACACGGCACAATTAATACAAAAAATATGCACGAAAAATTGCCAGATCTTTTTTTTTTTAATTATTATTATAATTATAATTATAATAAATAGCCGAATTAGCGTTTCAGATATTAATACAGTATCCTGGGTGATTTACTTTATAATAAAATATCATATGCAATAAAATAAATTTACGTCAAGCCAATACCATAGACTTACCTGCTTGAGTTAACATGTCAACTTCGCCGCATTCTAAAATATTTATCCAGCTAAACCATTAATTAACAAAGCAAAATAGATCGATGTTTTCTTACCCTTATCTAGTGAGACTGGTGTTACAAACACACATGAAATTTATTACATCAGATAAACAAGTACAATTCTGATCGCGAGTAATACGATAAATTCAAATTCCACGTGCGCTTTTGGAAGACAACGGTTTTATGCTCAAAGAAGAAGAAGTAAAGCAATTTATACCCTACCGACATAATTATTAATATATAATTTTCGATTATAAGTTTCGCTAGCTTCGTAATCTACGAATATAGTGATGAAGGAAACGTTACCCATTAATTTGTGTTACATGAAATAATTTCTGTATGAAACCGCTGATTGCGCTTTATAAAAGCGTAAAAATAATGAAATGTTAACTCTGAGTTTACCTCTAAAAATCAAAAATCAAATCTGCATCATGACACAAAGAATAATCAATATTGTTGACTTATCTGCCTTGCAACAAGAATACGAGACTGTCGTAGATTTTGCTAATGATCTTTTACCCAACGTATTTGCTACTACACCACAACACGTATTAGCAAATTCTCATACAGTAACATCAAGATCTGCAACGTTCGAATCGCAATACAATGCAAACGGCTCACCATGCGTTCAATACTGGCGTCCGTCATCTGATTTAATAAAGAAATTGCGCTTTCTTCATGAAGAGGCATATGCACAATTTCCTTGTGCTCCATGTTGCTATTGCGGTCGATTACTTTACCCACTTAAAGCCGCATGGGTTTACAGAAATTCAAATTCACGTTTTCCATTTGAAGAACTATACCCGGATGTTGCTTTACTCGAAAATTTAAAAAGACCCAATATGTTTGCTATATGTCGAGCTTGCCGTAATCCACCTCATAAACGCTGCCTCAGACTTTGTCCGATTCCACCACAAATTCAGGCTGTACCCTATGGGAAAAGAAAATATCTTTCACCTGTTTTCCTCCATTCAAGTCTTGGACGTACTGGTAATTTGTCTACATTTAGTGAATATCGCTCAATAAGGGGCGCTATGAACTATTCCAAAAATTATCGAGCTTTATTTCTTTATTCTGGCATGCTCGGTGCATTTCTCGAAAATGATGAAATAAACCTCGATTTACCTGAGAATCGTTGGTATCATCATTCATTACCAGCAGCCTGTGAATGGTTACAGGAACATAACCCATACCTGCATGCATATCATTCGATCGCTTCTACGTTATGTGAAAGAGCAGAACTAAACACACCTATTTGGCCTGTTGCAACGCACTCAGATGCAAATGCTCACATCCCAGCAATTATGCGTACTGAAGCGATTTTGCCGCCATTCGACTTTCCTGCTGAAATACATAATGAAGACTCACACTACACTCGTTTAGCAGTTGGATTTCTCTTAGATTCCAATAATAAAAAAATACCCATTTCTTTCTCAGATCCGGAATTAGAACCGCTAGTATTCCCAGACCTGTTCCCTGATGGAAATGGATACTTTAATCAAGGTGTCCACAATTCAGAAACAAGAGTTGAAACATACGGAAAATATATAAAAGAAAGGTTATTAGGGTATGATTCACGGTTTAGATTGCACCCTACATGGCCTGTATGGAGCTATCTTCAACTCAAAAAATTACGAAATTTTCAAAACCGGCAGTGCTTAATACGTCAGCGCAGCACTGATAGGAATTATAGACATCCATCTGCTTCTGAACTGCTGCATCAAAGTACATATAATAATAATTTAATTATTAATGAAGAAATAACTGACCCTCTTCCAAGCTTTGTTCGCACGGGTGATACTTACTTCCATCAGAAAGAGCTTCATGCAAATGCAATGGTGGCTGAGTATGGGCTTCCAACTCTTTTTGTCACATTGTCAATGGCAGAAAGTCGATGGGAACATTTACGAGAAATATTACAAGTTACTGACAATGGTGATACAATGCCAACAAATAGACCATTACACGTAACATTGTTTTATATTAATCGTATACAATCCCTTAAGAAAGCAATCTGGTATGACAGCATTGTATCAGGATGGGGAACTATTGAACACTTTTTTGACAGAACAGAGTTTCAAAATCGTGGTGCAGCTCACCTTCATACTGTGTTATGGACTACTCGCTCTATTGAAGAAATAATGCAAACTCATCAAATACGTGCTGACTTACCTGACCCTATATATGAGCCTGAACTTTATCGTAAAGTATTAGCACATCAAGTTCACACATGTGACTTACTACGTTGCGGTGGTCCGGTTCCTGAAGGTGAACAATGCAGGAAAGGCTTTCCACATCAACTTGCATCTGAAACCTTTTACTGTAATGAATTATCCCGTTACATTTATAAATGTGAGCAGAAAGATCAATTCATTGTACCATATCATGCACCTACCTTACTTGCATGGGATGCACACATGAATATCCAATATGTGTCGTCTAGAGGATTTGCAAAGTATATGACTAAATACATTGCAAAAACAGAACCATCCCATGCTTTTAATATAAGAGAAGGTGATCGATTTTGGCAACATGTAATAGCTCGTCGTTTAAGCGCAATGGAAGTAATGTTTCTTACACTTGGAGAGAAAATATGCCATTCATCTATTAAGGTGCAATATCTTCCAACTGATGTACCTGAAAGTCGGTCTAAAGCAGTTCTCCCAGTTTGTCTATTAATTAATAATCCAGATGATCCATATTACAAAGACTCTCTGGATAAATATTTTAATCGACCAACTGGAGAAATGTTTGAAAATTTGACTTATGAACAATATTTCCGACTATATGACATTAAGCCTCCAGGACCCAATGTACCGCGTCTTATCAGTCGCGATCAATTTGAAAACCGTATTCTAAGACGGACCAAGCCGATCATTATTAGAATCCGTCCATTATCTATTAACAATAACGATTCATATTTCTATCAACTTCTGTTAAAGCATCGTAGCTGGCATTCAGATGCAGAGATTCTTGGATCACATGTTAATTATCGCGATCGATATTTCGAACTGTTTCCTGACGCCTTAAGACAGATACAGCACGAAAACTTGGCTCATATTGAATGAACACGCATTGAGTTCAATAATCAATTTGCTGCAGCATTGGATTCGATTTTGCATCAATTAAGCAATGAACTTTCTATAAATAATACAGATATTTTCAAAACACAGTTGCTTGCCCTACAGTCCACCCCATACATTATACCACAATCACTCACACTCAATTTGCCATCAGACCAATATTATATCATGAATACATTGACGCATTGGATGGGGTCTACGTCAAATAACAAATATCCTTACTTTTTCATTACTGGATCAGCTGGTACTGGTAAAACATATATTATCCGTTTACTATGTCAATTTCTGGGTATGCGCAGATCAAAATACCTTTTAATGGCACCAACAGGTGTAGCTGCACAAAACATAGGAGGTAAAACAATACACTCTGAGTTATGTATTACATCATCACAGTCTGGATTTCAAACGCTTGTACATTATGATATCGATCTTCGTAACTCACTCCGCGAAATTGATACTATCATAATCGATGAAGTATCGATGGTTCAGCATCTTTATTATCATTTATCTCCAACCTATTTGGGCAGCTACATAATAACTGTTATCCTTTTGGTGGTATATGTGTGGTTGTGGTAGGTGACCTGGCTCAGCTGCCACCTGTTAATGGATCACCCGTATATATATCACCCGTTTGGCCAGTATTTTATCCGCTTTTTTTAACAACTTCTCACCGTCAAGAAAAGGACATGCAATTCTATGAGTTGTTAGAAGCAGTTCGATATGGGAACATTACAACCCGACTATGGAATATACTGTTAACGAAATACACAGAATCCCTAAACCGACCGATATTTACCAACGCATTTATTACTACATATATTGTTGGCTATCGTGAATCAGCTCAAAGAATTGACACTTCCTTCTGTAACATGCTCGTAATCAAAGATGATAACTTTCTCCTAAACGATGCCATTGATTATATCAACAATGAACTGTGGGAGAACCGCTCTGCCCAATCTTTATTTAAACATCGTACAAATCTACCTCCTACTGTTCGTTTACAACGTGGTGCACGAGTTATGTTCTTAAACAATCAATTGTTTGACGTTGGTATATGCAATGGCACTATTGGAGTAGTTACAAATGTTGATCCTGACATTAAAAGAGTTCGAGTTATGTTTTGCTCTGCAACCGGCATTAGGGACGTAGAAATATCGCCGATAACAGTATCATTTCACATTAACGGTAATTCCGCTTCAAGAACACAATTCCCATTAATGAATTGCTTTGCAATTACTGTTCACAAAGCTCAAGGGTTAACGCTATCGAAAATAGGACTTTTTCTTGACAAACAATTTTTTGCTCCAGGACAAGCTTATGTGGCATTAAGTCATGCATCCTGCTTGGATGATATAGCTATACATGCTTTGAACTAAAAAGCATTTAACGTGGATAGTGGTGTTATTGCTGAATATTCGAAACTTCGAGAACGTGCTCAACAAACCCCATTTGGCAATCGTAACTTCGTTAATGAATGATAGAACATTTATTCATTATCTATATATTCCTCCGTAAATACAGTATATATTTACAACCATATTTACTTAATATCTACTTAGTTAAATATACTACCATATAATAAAAAATTTTACAACAATAAGAGTTGTGTATCCTGCGAATATTCAGAATGATTTCCGTTCCGCATACTTACCTTTTTTAGATAAATCATTTCCCATAGTATTCTCACTATTGTCAAATGCAAGTTTAATTGGCATGTGCAAATATCAATCTATCACATTAAGGCATAAAGAAATGAATTACGTCACGACAGTTCCTTACAAATGTTTGTCTACATTGACAGCATTCGTCTCATTACAATGTACATAATGCATGTAAAACTATTACTAATTATTATTATCATACTCAATTGTATCTGTTAAATAAAAACGCTAGCTTACTATAAGGTATAATAACTTCTCCAAACATATAGTTTCTGCGTTAAATGGAAGCTCATATTTGATCGTTTACAAGCTGTGATTACCAATTTAAAGTATTGCTACGCAAATAATATAACTATATTTGATAACATTATCTGACGTTCAATGAAGCACCGGAAATATGTCTTATTAACAAATACCCTAATTGTGAATTATTCTATTTATCTTTAATGAATGTTGGACTACTAATAAAAAATGTATAAGGACATACAGTTTTATCACGATTACTGAGGCAAAGCCTCAAATTATTTTTCACTCTACATAAACAATAAAAATTTACAATGGAGTTTCTTCATATTATACTCAACTGTTTTTAAGTAAACTCATTTTGGTTAACAATTGTGCATCGCAATATTTATTTACGCCAAAGTGTTACCATCAATTTGGGAAAGATCATTAATCCTCTGCAGTATATATTCTGACCGAAAACCCCACAAAAAACTTACACAACACGAAATTAAGAAATTGCTGAAAACCCCACGAAAAACTTACACAACACAAAATTAAGGAATCACTAAGCAAAAAAAAAATAATGTTTATACACCTCGATACCACTTGTCTCGTAAAACAAATAACTGAGACAACAACTCATGAATATGTAATAGTTCAATGCGTTGCGTCTGCGTACAACTTCGTACGTACACACATAAAATTATTAATTAAGATTTTTATTCCGCTGAATGACTCCGTGCAAGTGCCCATATACAAACCTTCCAAAGACGATATAATCAGGGTATATGGTTCAGTAACTAATATCACAAAAGACGATATATGTGAGGTAAGCAAACATATGTTACATAATTGTCATAAAATTACGTATATCTAACTTAATACAATCTTCAGGTATCAGCATACAGATGCCAAAACACACATTATAATACCAAGTCGCTCCCGAAAAATTCCACTCATTTAATCTGCCTGGGTACTTTAAAAGATCAACCTCAAGTGCAAGAAGACTATTGGAACATTAATATAACGTCCAAACAATTTGTTGGAAAGGATTCAGGCGGTCTGAAATGGTTCGATACCGATATTTTTTGTTCCCATCATATGAACATTTCAAGGCTTACGGGCAGAAGTTCATCAGCAAAGAAAGGCTCGAAACTAATAATAACTGGGGAATTGGAGATCAGCGAAGGCCAGTTATATTGTGACGTCCATCACTTCGAATTCGTTTCTCAATTAGGGTCAAAAAACGAAAGCATAAAGAGAGATCCGGCAATTTGGATCGAAGATGACGAGGACGAAAAAACCGATTTTAATTCACCATCGCGTAGACGTAAAAAAGTGAAACAAGAAGAACCCACTACGTCTCAAGTTATAATTCCGTCACTGTCACAAATGCAACCACCATCTCCAGCCACTTTAGTTTCAGACAGCTCTCCCTCCACTCCAACTGAGTCTACACCTCCATCAAGCGAAAAAAAAACTCCGTCAAGAAGACGGCCATCGCGGCGTCGCGCTTGAATCTCACTAAGTTCCAAATATAAGACTTATTAAGCAAACGTCGTTTAACTCTTATCTGATAGTGCTATTCAATAAGTTTTTTTAACTCTATTTTCGTAAACATTTATATTTGTCAATCTTTCTTAAGCCTTTGTGCAAGTAAAAAAAAAAAGGTACATGTATGATTAGTGTCCGCTTATTTACTTTATTTATTTTGCAATAGTAATAATAAGGGACATCCCGCGCTAGTGTGAGAAGCTTGTTTCACCATACTTATCAACATATACCAATACGTATACGTTATTTTGTTTATAACTTATTGGATGACACAAGAATCAAAATAAAGTCGATTTAGCAGTAAACCAACCAACACATCAAAGAGACCATCTCCGCGGTCATATTGCATCAGATAATAATAACTCCTGTTAAATCAACTACCACCGCACTCCCTTGTCTTGGATGCACTCACAGTTATAATTCACTACATATATCACCTAATCAACTATGCGACTTTAACGCTAATAAATCCATATTTTTATGTTGTTATTAAAAATGCTCTAGCCCGTTCTGGAATCTGGGTCCTTTTAGATTATCATTTTCAGATAATACCAACATACATTTTTATTGCAATCTGAAACAGAACGGGCCAGAACATTAACGACGATATATGTATAAGTCATATACAAATACATATATGTTAATAAGCATGTGAATTAATGTTTACTTGTTACACTAATTCAGAACATCATGTATCACATTATATCATACGACTTTCCCCAACTTTTGACACACAATTATAGAAAAAACAATTATAGAAAACCAATTGTACAAAAAACGCTAACGGCATCACGAGGCGAACATGATTTGACAGTAATAGTCAACTGATCTAAGTATTCGATGATTTGTGAGATTTATACTTTGAGATGAGATGCTAATAACATATGTATTTCCGATCACCATAAACACTAACAACACCTCGTATTCTTCTGCCTCCTTGACGTTTATTCTGTCATTCAACCTTCTCTTTTAATAATAAGTAAATACATAAGTATACTACATAAAGGAGGACATATTTATCTATTTGTTAAAGAAGTTTATCAACGATTCTTATAAGGACATAACTTAGCAGAAGTTACATAAAGTCTATTGCTCAGATTTGGGGGTATTATGCGAAATGGGGATGATTAACGTAAAATGGCCCAATTTCTTTGTACTATCACCAACGAATGTCATCACCACAATGTAAGTAATAATAAGAATTCTCAATCAACATACCTCCATATAGCATTTTTGCGAGCGGATTCAAACACCAGATGATAAGCAAATTTCTGTCAGATATTCAATAACCTATTGAAGAGAAGAGAATGAATGCTTTATATTCATCTTATCTTTTTTCCGGCTTTGTTTATCTATAATTTAAAATAAATTTAAGTTTGTAAACATGTAATTTTCTCCCTTCAATTTCTAAAGTTGAAATGAAATAAGCAGCTTCACACACTGTATTATGTAAACACCTTTTCATGTTTAAATAATCTTTTTTATTCGCATAAACCTAACAAGATATTGTTTATTTTGTTACAACGCTCTAACACGTACGCAATATTACGAAATTAGACATTTACACTGATATACCACGCCTCTGCAAAAAGATTTCGCCACTCCTTCGGGGTTGAAAACCTGGCACTACGGACGCGAAAAAAACAGTTCAATTATCGGCTCAATATTCTATCTATATACAATTATATAGTTTAACACAACGTTTGAAAAACGTTTATCTTGGCAATAAAGGCATAAAGAGCCATCTGAAAATTTAGCTATGACTAATTAACGCGATCCAAAATATGATTTATACACTCTATTACCGTTATCACAATTATACTTCACACTAATAAAAATAAAGACCAACAAAATTCATTTCCGGTATGTAACTTACAATCAATAATTTACTTCAACATATTCACTTTTGCAAAACTATAGTATCTGTCATTACTATCATTAGTAAATGATTGTGAAAATGATGAGGTGAAGCCTCTTGACCAATTATTACTCTAGTTCTAATTATAATATTTTGTGCTGTTGCGGAAAAACGCAACTATTTCTAATTATAATATTTTGTGCTGTTGCAGATTTTTCGAAACGTTTTGCTATTATTGCGCCCGTTGCAGATTTTTCGAAACGCTTTTGTTATTGTTGCGCCCGTTGCAGATTTTTCGAAACGCTTTTGTTGTTATTGTGCCCATTGCGAAATTTTCGACATGCCATTACTAATTTAACTTTTGTATTACTAAGCTAAATTTGATGTGTCGATCATGGGTTTGCTGACTGCGGAGGAAG